TATTGCTCTTAATGTCAAGTCAGGTTTATGACAAATTAGCGGTAAAACTGCCGTTCTACTGGCAGCACAGCATCACAAATATATGATGCATCCTACTAAAGATTTTGTTCTGGATATAAACAGTTTGTAAAGTGGCCTACTGCACATTTTGATAAGTTATTACTTCACATTTTAAAGTTTTAATGATAAACTTGCATGTTTGCCATTCTACGCACACAGTTTGTTGAATGGTTCCCACAGATGTTTTGACCACATGACCTCAAAGGGGATAAAGTAGTAAAGAGAGCACAAATCAGTCACTGCATGTGTCAGTGTCTCTTATTCCTAATCACTGCCGTCAGTTTCCAACATAAAGATTTGTTTTTTGTTCCTCCACAGACATGTTCAGGCAGTTGTCTGTTCAAACGACCGTGACCCTTCGTGAACCAGAGGTAATGAAAGAAACTTGCTCTTTGTTTTAATCTCTTACAACCTGCCCAGTATTCATTTTAAATCAATGGAAGCAAATATCTTAATTGCACTTCTATGCACAAAAAACCTTGCTTCATGTACCGTTTTCCCAATGTGTTGGATGCTGCCTTCAAAATTATGGCACGCTTATACTGGGTTTTGGATTTTCTCTGATGCAGTGATCATGCTTTTAATCTGTCCCGCAGATACGAAGCACGTGAATAATCTGTCTCTTCTTTATTTACAGTGGATGTACATCACGATGTACACTTAAACCGACATTGAAGATGAACTGCAGATTAATCAGGAAAAAAAAGTTAAATGTGTTCCTCTGCAAATGAGCTATATATGGTACATACAGCGACATGCACAGAGCAGGAGACACAGGCTACTTATTCTGGGTTTTTAATCACAGCAGTAGACAACTTTTGCTACCTATTACAGACAGAACAACTAATGTGAGTGTGTAATCCTCCTAACCAAGATTATGCTATATACAGTGCTTAATAAATGTATCAGACCACCACCCAATGTGAAGTTTAAGCCACAGCTGCCCTAAATTAACAGCATTGGTAATTACCAAAATACTTTTTTATGTTTCTGTCATGGTTAATACACCAGTACGTAGAAGCTCTTTAACCAAAATGATATTTTAATGGGAAAATATAACTATTGTGGTTATCCATCAATTTCGAAATATACTGTTTCACAAAAAGAAAAAGAAGAAAAAATAGTTATTATTATGCCTTGATTAAGATGTCAGATTATAGTTGTTTACTTGCATTCCTGAACAGAAAAAAATGTTTTTGTGGTTGAATGTGATGCTTGATTAATTTCTGACTTCTTAGAGAATCCCAGTGAGCCGCTCAGATTTGGGAACAAAAAAGTTAATTCAGTCTGAAATTCCTCATTTCTGTTCAAAATGGTAAAACGTGGAGAGCTGAGTGCGCGTTAAAGCACTTCATGGTGCTGGATGGTCTATATATATATATGTATATGCATAGCTTGAGCACAGAAATAAAAAAAAAGCTTTTAGGTAAATCTGAAATACAGATTTAGTGAACTGGATTATGTACACAAAGTTTAAATCAAATCAACATTTGTTTCTGTCATATGTAGTGAAAATACTGTATCGCTTCCAGTCTACGTGTTACTGTCTTTGATGGTGTGTTTCATTCCTTTAAGTGGGTTTGTGCATTTTTTGGTTTCCCTGTGAGGTGGGAGTTTCTTTTAATGTCTGTTTGTAAGTTAGTTCACCACTTAGAGCCAGACTGAAATATTACCTAATGTAACAGTAACTGCATAGACTATCAGGGAGTCTGGTACCAACATTTGTGTCCTCAGGGTGAAATGTAATCAGTGTGTAGTGTAGTGATCCCCTAATGTTCCATCTAGTGCCAACGTCAGATCAAAAGTCGACTTTGTCCCATTCTGTCTCAGGCTGTTTTTAGTCAGACGTTAGGACTTTAAGATTGCAGTCATGGGAAATGCATTCACGTTGCAGCACCGCTGTGTGTGCACGTGTCACCTCACAGAGCTGCTGGCATCGCTGTGTAACTAGTCTCTCTGACTTCTACTTTTTAAGTGGGCTTTTATTTTCGGTGGGATCTTTTCACTGATTTTGTACTTTACAAATAAAAATATTATTGAAACAGCTGTAGTGAGCTTCATCTTTTTTTTTTTTTTTCATAACTTCCAAACATCTTGGAGATTATGAAATGTGGCAAAAAAAAAAATCTGCTTATCAAACATGGCTTAAAAAAATCACGAGCGGTCATTTCGAGGTTTGTAGTCCATTTTCTACTTAAAGGTGTTACTTGATCAGTTATTTGTACTTCCATATATCAACATGCTCAGTCTTTTTTTTGTCCAAACTTTAACCTCACCAGACAAATTTCCGACGCCACTGCAATGCTAGAAGCGAATCAAAAGCATGACTTTGGATTTTGATTGTGGAAAGTGAAATCAGTAACGATCAAGTCGTATGTTAAATTTCTTTATAATCTTCTTAAACAGAAAGAGACACACGCATTAGATTAGTATTCCTTTATTGTTACATAGAAATACTTTAAAATCTAACAGATAAAACAGTAAACATCACTTTAATAGTTAACAATCAAACAGTGATTAATAATGACTACTAGCATTTTTTAGTAAAAGTACTTAATTTTAAAATCTAAAACCCAAGTCACCACCTAATACCTTTTCCATTACATTGCTTACTGTGATTGTCATTTACATTTCAAATACACAGTTTTAGAACATATAGATGCAATGAAGCAGTTTTCAATAGACATGCATGAGTAACACAAGTAATGATAATAAACCTTCACCCTTAGGATATAAGCATTAAAGAAAAATTACCGGAAACATCACTGATTATTATTATTAGGATGCAGAACTCATATACGCGTCTAAGCTGGTTGACATAGAATTTGCAGTAGACTTGTCAGCAAAGCAGCCTGGAGTATGGATGTCAGTGGCTTTGCAAGCTCCGCTCCAACATTTGTAAGTGCAGCTAAAAATCAAAGCCCAGAGAACACATTTAGATTGTAATCACAACAAACTGTAAGACTTTCTTGGCGTTTTTTCATTATTATTGATGTTTAAAAAGTAGAAACAGAATGATAGGCTAAACACGACGACATTACATTGAAGTACAGTACACTCACCTTGTGTTGTCGATGCTACAGTAGATGTCAGGGTTGTACTTCTCTTACTTGTGTGTCCTGTGAATGAGATTGAATCTAGTTAGTTAGCTGCATGTTGTGGCACACTTGCATCCTCTTGTGGCTTTAAACAAAACAGGCTGCAACATGAGACTCACACAGCGTTACACCCGATAAACTGTTTAAAATGCCAGTTAGCATCCATAAATGTTGCTGTTCACTGATGCATTTGATCCACTAAGAAACTTTGTTGTTTAGAAATGGAATATATATTATTATAAATCTGCAGAGCTGCTACAACTGATCTACTTTTTTCCACAGACTACACAACACTGTGCACTGACACATGTAAACGTGATGATGGCCTTTGTCACTTAATACACACCTAAAGTTTTTACCCAGTGATCCTGTCACAGCGCTGGCGGATTCAGCAGCGTCGGTGCTGGAGCCGGGCGCTGCAGTGTTCGGGTCAGTCCTGTTGCTGATGAGGCCCACTCCCAGCCTGTCCAGGTCGGACTGCAGCTGCATGTTCACCCAGGTCTCAATCAAGGTATCCGTCTCAAATAGCTTCAGGTCAGGTAGGTGATGACCCATGAGGCCTTGCACGTTGGTCACAGTCAAATTCTGTGCATTTTGAAATGTAAAAAAAAAAGCTGTTTACAGATTTGACAATAGCAGCAAAAACTTAACAGCTTTGGGTCTCCTCTTGATGTTAGTTTATGAGGCCCCAGTGAAAGTTTTTGCTTAGTGTTTGCGGACATAGATAGATAGATAGATAGATAGATAGATAGATAGATAGATAGATAGATAGATAGATAGATAGATAGATAGATAGATAGATAGATAGATAGATAGATA